GTGTGAACTACATAATGCTTTTAGGGGGGGTTGGGAGAAAAGGAGAGGGTGTCCTGCACAGGGACATGCAGGCAGGTTAGAGGGGGGCAAAGGTGTGGAAGACTTGCAGTTTTGGTCAGACTCTCTTATTTTTTTTCTTTCTCTTCTTTCACCTGGGGGTGATTCCCCCTTTTCTGCTGTGGGAGTGTCATCCCTTCCCAGTGGCACAGCCCTGTGGGTGGGCAGAGCAGCCTGAGGATGGGGACCTGTGTGTGGGGAGCTGTGTCCTCTCCCACAAGATACGGGCCACCCAAGTCCTGGGTGCTAGAGGTGCTCCAGCAGGCTCTGCACCCTGCTGGGTCAGGCGTGACCACAGGGCCCCTGCTGATGGGACCAGCTCCTGCCATGTGGACACAGCCAGTCCACCGGCTCCAGCTGTATTTTGTGAGTTTGTCAGGTCTCAGCAGCTGGCTGGGCTTGCTCCACGTTAAAGGGAAAAGATCTGGAAGGGAGGGAAAGGCTGGCTTGAGCAGGACAGGGCAGGAAAGTTGGCATTGACACACGGTCCCCTCCAAGCTTTTAATGGCAGTTGTGGTTTCCTTGCTGAATTCTGTAAGGCGTTGGGGTTTCTTTTAGGTTTCGTGGCTTGTGTGTTTTTAATTCAGGGATTTTGACCGCGTGGTTCTCCCACAGCCCGTTGTGTGTTTCTTTCTGGGGAGCACCCAAGCACAGCAGTGAGTCCCCCGCAACGTTCAGCGCCGTTTGATGTGCATCAGGGAGCTGCTCCCCCAAGACCTGTTTCTGCAAGCTCCTGCTGCATCTTTCTCTCTGCACTCTCTCTTGTAAGCTCAGGAGGAAACTCGGCTGTGTACAAAACTGGCTGTATGTGGTCGAGGGAGGTCATTCTTCCCCTCTGCTCTGCTCTAGTGAGGCCACAACTGGAATATTGTGTCTAGTTCAGCTGCATACAAAACCGGCTGTACATGGTTGAGGGAGGTCATTCTCCCCCTCCTCTCTGCACTGGGGAGGCCACAACTGGAATACTGCCCAGTTCAAGAGGGACAGGAAACTGGAGAGAGCCCAGCATAGGGCAACAAAGATGATTAAGGGATTGGAGCATCTCCCTGATGAGGAAAGGCTGAGAGAGCTGGGGCTCTTTAGCCTGGAGAAGAGAAGGCTGAGGGGAGACCTTATCAATGCTTCCAAGTATCTAAAGGGTGGGTTGAAGGAGGATGGAGCTGGACTCTTTTCAGTGGATCCCAGTGACAGGACGAGGGGCAACCGGCACAAGCTGGAACATGGAAAGTTCCACTCAAATCTGAGGAAGAACTTCATTATGGTGAGGGTGGCAGAGCCCTGGAACAGGCTGCCCAGGGAGGGTGTGGAGTCCCCTTCTCTGGAGGTTTTCTGGACCCACCTGAATGCCGTCCTGAGTGATGTGCTCTGGGCAACCCTGCTTTGGCAGGGGAGTTGGACTGGATGATCTCTAGAAGGTCCCTTCCAACCCAACAATTCTGTGATCAGTGACCAAGCCCAGTCCTGTTCTTAGTGACTTCTGGGGGAGCCTTTCTGTGGCCAGAAGCAAGACAAAGGTGGAGGGGGTGTTGGAAGAACACCTGTACCTCTGAGGAAGCAAAGCTGTGTTTGAATTAGAAAGAATAACTGTGTAAGTCCAGGTCTTTAGGGCAGGTCAGACCCAGCAGGGCCATGTGGGGCTGGAGCTCAGGCACACAGGCCGAGGCAGATCAATACAAGCTGCACTTGAAAGGCTAAAACGGGATGTGCTCCAACTGTGAAAAGATCCTGGGGACTGCTGCAGAGGGTTGTGGTGGATTACACCTTAATGAAGCCGGAGGAGGTGGAAGGAAGCACTGAGCCACCCTCTCTGCACCACCCTGAGCGTTTGTCCTTTGGGGTCATGGAAAGTGGCTTCTCCCTTTCAGCAGTAAGTTGAAGGAGATGTGTACTTCTGACACAGCAGAGATTAATTGCACACAATTAATTGTAGTACTAGGTCTTGATTGCATCTAGCAGGTATTTCAGAAGTAGATGAGTGCTTTACTTGGCTCCCCTCTACAGTGGGTGAGAGAAGCTGGTGCTGTCAGCAGGTATCTCCAGCTGGATCTCATCGTTCTCTGGATGTCATCTTCTTTCCTCGTGAGAAGTCAAGAAGGATAAGGGCACAGCCCCTCTGCTGGGGCTGGTGTTGCTGGGAGGAGAGCTCAGTTCAAGGCTCAGCTGTACTTCTTCAGGTCACTTCAGACCTTGGTTTCCCCTTTGGTAACCTGATGGTTTCTGGAAAGCGCTTTCAATGGATAAACGAAAAGGTTGCACCAGAGCTGGGAGCAACTGTTTTCCTTCTTCCTCCCCCCAACATTGGCTGTGCTGGGGAGGGTGACTCTGAATTTCTGCAGACACACCAGCCCCGAGCAGACCGTGGTCTCTACAGCTGGTGGTTCCACACTGCAGGGGTTTTGGGAGGGTGGAGAGCACCTGAGGATTTTGGTGGGAGGCACAGCAGTAAAGCAGACCAAAACTGGGGGCCTTGCCATCAGCAGAGCTTCCTGCTCACCCAGAAACAGTGGTTTCATGTGGTTGCTTTGATGAAAAGAAAAGGTGTAAAGGGCTGGGGTCATTAAGGGGAAGGGCCTGATATGCCATTGCTAATGTTTTTGGGAATAACAGGGCAGTAGATCATTCTGCTAACTGAACTTCTGTCTTCTTGGGCAAGTATTCATAGAGTGGTTAGAGTTGGAAGGGACCTTAAAGATCATCAAGTTCCAACCCCCTGCCCTGGGTAGGGACACCTCCCACCAGACCAGGTTGCTCAAAGCCCCATCCAGCCTGGCCTTGAACCCCTCCAGGGATGGGGCAGCCACAGCTTCTCTGGGCAACCTGTTCCAGTGTCTCACCACCCTCATAGTAAAGAATTTCTTTCTGGTGTCTAATCTAAATCTCCTCTCTTCCAATTTAAAACCATTACCCCTTGTCCTGTCGCTACCCTTCCTGACAGAGTCCCTCTCCACCTCTCCTGTAGCTCCCTTCAGATATTGGAAGGCTGCTATGAGGTCTCCCCAGAGCCTTCTCTTCTCATTCAGCGCAGGCACTGTGGCCAGGAGCAGAAAGATCCTTCAGCACAGGCACTGTGGCCAGGAGCAGAAAGATCCTCCCCACCAGGGGGGATAATGCAGAACGAAGGGGGAATGACACTTTTCCCCGTATTTTGCTGTCTGTACTATTCACCTGCCTTCAAACAGCCCTGGGGCAGAAGGGCAAGGCGAACGGTGGAGACACATCTTCTTTCAGCTGTGCAGAAGTTTTGAAAGAATAACTCTGTGTAAGTCCAGGTCTTTAGGGCAGGTCAGACCCAGCAGGGCCACGTGGGGCTGGAGCTCAGGCACACAGGCCAAGGCAGATCGATACAAACTGCACTTGAAAGGCTAAAACGGGACGTGCTCCAACTGTGAAAAGATCCCGGGGACTGCTGCAGAGGGTTGTGGTGGATTACACCTTAATGAAGCCGGAGGAGGTGGAAGGAAGCACTGAGCCACCCTCTCTGCACCACCCTGAGCGTTTGTCCTTTGGGGTCATGGAAAGTGACTTCTTCCTTTCAGCAGTAAGTTGAAGGAGATGTGTACTTCTGACACAGCAGAGATTAATTGCACACAATTAATTGTAGTACTAGGTCTTGATTGCATCTAGCAGGTATTTTAGAAGTAGATGAGTGCTTTACTTGGCTCCCCTCTACAGTGGGTGAGAGAAGCTGGTGCTGTCAGCAGGTATCTCCAGCTGGATCTCATCCTTCTCTGGATGTCATCTTCTTTCCTCGTGAGAAGTCAAGAAGGATAAGGGCACAGCCCCTCTGCTGGGGCTGGTGTTGCTGGGAGGAGAGCTCAGTTCAAGGCTCAGCTGTACTTCTTCAGGTCACTTCAGACCTTGGTTTCCCCTTTGGTAACCTGATGGTTTCTGGAAAGCGCTTTCAATGGATAAACGAAAAGGTTGCACCAGAGCTGGGAGCAACTGTTTTCCTTCTTCCTCCCCCCAACATTGGCTGTGCTGGGGAGGGTGACTCTGAATTTCTGCAGACACACCAGCCCCGAGCAGACCGTGGTCTCTACAGCTGGTGGTTCCACACTGCAGGGGTTTTGGGAGGGTGGAGAGCACCTGAGGATTTTGGTGGGAGGCACAGCAGTAAAGCAGACCAAAACTGGGGGCCTTGCCATCAGCAGGGCTTCCTGCTCACCCAGAGCCAGTGGTTTCATGTTGTTGCTTTGATGAAAATGCATAAAGGGCTGGGGCCATTAAGGGGAAGGGCCTGATGTGCCATTGCTAATGTTTTTGGGAATAACAGGGCAGTAGATCATTCTGCTAACTGAACTTCTGTCTTCTTGGGCAAGTATTCATAGAGTGGTTAGAGTTGGAAGGGACCTTAAAGATCATCAAGTTCCAACCCCCTGCCCTGGGTAGGGACACCTCCCACCAGACCAGGTTGCTCAAAGCCCCATCCAGCCTGGCCTTGAACCCCTCCAGGGATGGGGCAGCCACAACTTCCCTGAGCAACCTGTTCCAGTGTCTCACCACCCTCACTGTAAAGAATTTCTTTCTGGTGTCTAATCTAAATCTCCCCTCTTCTAATTTAAAACCGTTACCCCTTGTCCTGTCACTACCCTTCCTGACAGAGTCCCTCTCCACCTCTCCTGTAGCTCCCTTCAGATATTGGAAGGCTGCTATAAGGTCTCCCTGGAGCCTTCTCTTCTCATTCAGCACAGGCACTGTGGCCAGGAGCAGAAAGATCCTCCCCACCAGGGGGGATAATGCAGAACGAAGGGGGAATGACACTTTTCCCCGTATTTTGCTGTCTGTACTATTCACCTGCCTTCAAACAGCCCTGGGGCAGAAGGGCAAGGCGAACGGTGGAGACACATCTTCTTTCAGCTGTGCAGAAGAATATGGAGAAAATAACCTGCACTCACCATTTGGCAGAGTATGGGCTCATCACACACACCTCAGCTGGTGGGGTTCACAGCGCTGTGCACGAGGAGCTCCATCCTTGATCCAGCAAGATATTTAAACACGCGCTTATCCTTAATAATAGGAGCAAAGCTCTTATAATCAAGGCTTACAGTTATCTTTACATTCTTAAGTATCTGGCTGCTTGGGGAAATTAATACCGAAGCCCCTGATTTTTAGGCTATTTAAGAAGTAAGCTGGCTTGGTGCAGGCGTTGGGATGGATCCAGCCAGACTGGCTGTGTGCTGCCCAGCCTGGCCAGGGGAAGGGGGGGCTTGGAGGGGGACAGAGTGAGAGGGGGCTGGAAACAGTGGCTCAAGAGGGGATGTCCGTTCTGCAAAGCACGCTGCAGAACTGAAATGGGGTAGACCCAAAGCTGTTGCATAAAGGTAGGGTGCATTTCCTCCCCACAAAGTACAACCAAGCATAAAAAAGGGGAAAGGATGGGAAATGGGATAATGGCACAGACCCTAAGACCTGCCCACAAGCTCCCATTCATGCAGCTGCCTGTCCTATCACACCACTCTAAATGCTTCATCCTTGGGGATCTGCCTGTGAGCAGAGCAAGCCCCCAAAACTCACCCAGAGACAACAGTTTGAAGTTTGAGGTGTTTTCCTCCCGGCCTTTCAGTCCAGCCTTTTGCTGCTGCTTCTTTCTTGTGAGTTATGAGCAGTTCCAGGCACTGTCCAGGCAGGAAGCAGCTAGATGTCTTCTGCTTCCCTCCTCTAATTCCCATGTGCTGGTCTCTCTACCCTTCTGCTATGTCTTTCCTCTACCCCTCTAGCTTTTTCTCTCTATCAGCCTTTCCTTTCCCCCATTTCTGTGCTCTTT